CTCTCTTCTTTCATCTCTCCCCTTTTTCTTTCATCTCTCCCCTCTATCCCTTTCAATCCAAAAGGTCATAAGAAGCCATCTCACTTCCTCAATTTTACATCGAAATGATACATGAAGCACTGCAGTGTGGTTTCCATGGAGCAAACTGGTGGTTTACAAACAGGGCTCTTGGGAAGATGACTCAGGAGACAGGCTGGGGCTTTGGGTCCTTCTTGCTTTAAATGGAATTATATATATATATATACACACACACATATATAGATATATAGTATAAGTACTATCTATATATATATATGGGTTGTATGAAAGATTTCATGTTTAAAAGGGGTTCCTCTTGAAAAAAAATATTTGAAAATTATTGCTGTAAAACTTACAGAAGGGAAAATTAAAAACTCCAGGAGCTAGTTTTTTAATTTATTTTCTGCCTATTCTGAGAACAACCTAAGGTGTCTTCCAAAAATAGATATGACACCCCAAGATTTTGGTTTTTTGAAGTCACAAAGGAAACAGAAAGTAGGAAAAATAGTGGTAGGAAAAGTCAGATGTCACTGTGGTAAGGTTTGGGCACCAATGCCTCAGCCAAGGGGCTGGCCAGTGGTTGGGGAAGCCCGGGCTCCAGCAGGTGGGCAGGGTCCCTGGAGGGGTCGCGCAGGCACAGCCATTCTCCGCCTGCAGAACGCAGAGATGACATCCTGGGCGGGGCCCAGAGCTCCCTGTGGGCGCTCCTAGAAATTAGTCCTTCGGAGGAATTGATTGACCTCAGACAGGCATGTCCTCCTCCACCCCAGCCACCATCCCTGGAGATCCATAGAGCAAGGCCAGGGGAGAGCTCTGCCTGCCCACCTGACCGGCCTCATCCTCCAGCCACAGCCTCTCCTCATACCGCCCGATTCGAGCCAGTTACCCCCTCAAAGATGATCAGAGTGACAAAAGGCAGAGTTTCACACCCAAAGATCTCCACTAATTAAAAACACCTAGCATGTATGTGGTGTTTGCTCCATGCCAGGCAATGTTCCAAGCACTTAGCATGTGTTCATTCTTTGATCTTCACAACACTATGGAGCAGGTACTATTATTCCCATTTGACAGATCAAGAAACAGAAGCTGTGGGTAAAATTGTAGTATTTCCAGATATCTCGCCTGGCTTTGGTACTTCTGTATATCAATAGGCATTCAGAGGTGGAAAGAAGTATGGCTTTAGTGCATTTGCATCATTCCTCAGGGGTGGAGAGAAGTTCATCTCCATATCAGTGGGCAATTACCTGGGCAACCAGGGCTTATCTGAAGCTGAGAGGTGAGGGGGGGTGGTGGTTTTGCTTCTGCTGGAGCAGGAAAGAGAGAAAGCCCCAGACTGCAGTTTGTAAGCAATAAACAGATTTTAAACTTTATTTTTCCCTTTGACTAATTTCAGTTTTTGGAGGTATTTTGCCCCAGGATTTCCTTTCCCGAAACTTACAGAAGCACAGTACCTGACCCAAGATCCCACACGTGCTGACAGCACTGAGATGCGAACCCGGTTTGGCTCTGGGCTCTGAACTGCTCACCACGCAGCCTCTCCGTCTGCCCATACGCGACCGAGTTAGTCACAGCGTTCCCGAGGCTGAAGCCCCAGATTTTGCCTCAAATGAGTCTGAGCCCCATTCTGGTCTGTGCTGTTTGATGGCTGCCAACAGCACCTTGTACCCTGTCCAGCCATTCACTGAGGTTGCACATTGCAAAGAAAACCCATGGCTTGAGGGAGTGAGGAGGCTCGAGGCAGGCCTTCCTCACGGTGGAAACGCAGCAGGCGAGCTGGATGGGCAGGACGGCAGCATGGTTAGATCACAGTTCCATCTAATCAACAGTAATAAATACTGGGCGGATGCTGTTTAGAATGAGATATTGTTATAGGCATTTTCTATTCATGATTGCCTCTAATCCTTAAAGCAACTGAACAGGCAGCTATTAGTCCAGTATATGGGGGAAACAGACCTAGAAAGGGTAAGTAACTCCCCAGAGGGCACAGTGGGTTCATCTCTTCCTTCTGCAAGGCCCTAGCACCTCTGCTCTAGTCTGCTTGGTCACCACCCTCCTGGCCCCTAAACCCACCTGCACAGAAATTCCTTCGTTTGCATTGTCAGGATCTTTCTGTGCTTCTGCTCCTGCCTCAGACCGTCAGTTCCTCAAAAGCCAGGGCTGTGTTTCTAGTTCTCTTTCTGGCCTCCCATCTCCAATGCTGAGGGCCCTGTGAGAAGTTCTTCATGAGGTGGGCCCTTGTCAGATGCTCCAAGTTCATGGCTGTGGTTGCATGAGCAACTGGGGTTGCTGGAGGAAAGGTAGAAATGAGGGAACAGCCAGAACCCAAACCTAAAGGAGAGATCCTCTATCACTCCCCCAAAACTCGCTTGCATAAATACACATAAAGCATGATCTTCCTAAACACCCCAGAAAAATGCGTACCTGTGAGTATTCAAGACCCAGCCATGTAAATAATCATGCAAATGAGGCGGCATCTGTGAGCTGGCTGCCACAGCCATCTCAACCTGTCCCCTCACACCAGCGAGAACATAAATACTGGCAGGAAAACCCCACTCCTCCTTTCTCATCCACGCCCTGATGCCTCAGGGAGAAAGCATGCAGTAATTAGCTTGAAAGCCTCTAAAAACAGTTTTTTGGCTTCACTGCCAATCTTCCTGCCACCGCCACTGGGCACAGGTGAGGAGAAGTGATAATAAACAGGCTGTTACCGACTGTCACTGAAGAAAATGATTGCTCAGCCTTGCTCAGGAAAACATGCTCACCCAACCCCTAGTAATCCCTGGGCATGCAGGGGCTTGAGCAGGAAGTGGATGCTGGGTCTGGCTTAGGTTTTGGGGAAAGTGTCATTTGCACAGTGCACAGACCTTGTGACTATGGTAGTGATGGGGCCAAAGTTTACTTTGCTACAATAGGAAGAAACTAATTTCAGTTATATCTTCATTTATTCATTGTCTATCTGAGAATGCACTAAATGAAGGCTAAAACAAATAAAGCTAAAAATGGTGCTTGTTGTCAAGAAAAAAAGGGGTAAAATAATCTATGAGAGAGAATTGGGCATTTTCAAGCTACTTCAAGGCCCTCTAGTTTAGCAGGAAAACAGACCTCTGAGTCTCGATGCTTCCCTCTTCACGGGAGCAGATTCATGGAACCTTCTCTTAACCCTCTGTCACTCGGTTCAGTGATAATACAACCCTTGAAAGAAATCAAAGCCCTGTACTTTACAATATTTGAATAATTTACTTTTTAAAAAATTCAGGACTGCCCTCCCTACCTCAGTTATTTAAGTTACTGAGATGACCCCAGAGAACGCCTTTTTAAAGAACACTTTGGCTTGGGAATGTATTAAGTCCCTGCCGCTCTGAGTGTGGTCCGCAGACCAGCAGCGCGGGCACACCGAGGAGCGCGCTTTGCTCAGCTCTCAGATCTCCTGGGTCAGGATCTGCGGTTTAGCAAGATTCCCAGATTCTCACACCAGACATGAAAGTCCGAGGAGGACTGTATTGGTTGTTACCTTCATAGGCATCGGCTTTCCTTGCAGAGTTTTGCTCTGTCCCAGTGAGGCTGGCAGGCGTTGGTCTTCTCTGAGCGCGCACAGTGTTCTGGCAGCAGCTGCCATGGGTCTTTTTGAGGGTGGGGGAAACAGAGAGGGAAAAACCCAAGGCCTCCAAGGATAGGTCACGGAACAGGGCGTGCACCATGACCTTGGCAGCTGGCCTCTAAATGGGAAGGACCAATGAGGAAGAAGTCTGGAAAGCAGGCTCTCCAGGGGTCAGTGGGTGGGCAGGAGGGTGAGGGGGCAGGAGGGTGAGGGTCTAGACCCTGTGAGGGGAAGCACCTCTCCGATGCAGGTGGCTGGACGGGAACAGAGAAGCGTCCTTCAGAATCCGCACAGGTCATCCAGGAGGTGTCTGTTTCAGCCCAGCGCACCGGGTGGGCGGGCTGGGGGCCGAGGGAGGTCAGAGGCAAGGGGTCATGCGGAGAGCTGAGCCCAGGACCAGTTCAGAGCTCCCACCTGTCTGCTCGTGACTTGTGCTGAGAATATGAGTGAAATGGGCCTTGTTCCATGGTCAAAGAGCTGGGCATCTGAGCTGCCAGCTGACAGACCAGAAGGAGGACGAGGGGGCATTGGGCACTGCCTTAAGACAACCCATGCCAACTGCTACACAGGAAAACGTGGGATTTTCTCTGGATTAACCCTGAGCCCACAGGCTAAGTGCCCCTTCACTCCCCTCAGGCAATGCGCCAGTATTTCTCTCCTCCTCAGCATTTCCCGAGCAGAAGGCAGCTGCCCACTGCCAGGGCCCCCAGACTGCAGGGGCATATACTGAGCCTTCTGAGCGGCCTGCTGAATTCCTCTTCTTGACTTGAGGGGATGGAGGAAGCCCTCACAAGCGCCTTCACCATCTCCTCCCTCTCCAGCCTTTTATATCCTCAAGTTTCAATAGTCACATGTCCAGCTTTAAGCCACTTTTGTGGTAAACTTTGCATACAGTCTAGCACTTCCTTTGAGATGCAGTGTCTGCGGTAGCTGAGCCAAAACTTCAGCTTTACACCTGTGGTATGTGTAATAAGGGAAAAAACTAGGAAATTAAACGTTTATCGATATTGGTTCAGTAAGTTATAGGACATCCATCCATGAAATATGATGCAGAGTTGAAGAGAATGAGGTCTGTCTCGAGGTGTGGACATGAGATGCTTTCCAAGATGTATTAAGAGAAAAGGCAGTAGTCAGCACTGTCTTATCGGTGTCTAAAAGAAGAGGGAAAGCTGATCACATGCATGTCTTTATGTGCACAGAGTATTTCTGGATGTACATACTAGACCCTGGATCACCCACTGCTTCCAAGTAAAAGGCCTTGAAAAGTCACTGCTGGGGGAAAGACTTGGTTTTTGCTGTGTACTATTTGGTATTTCTGAAATTTTTCTGTATATGTATGTATATACATATAAATATATATATATTACATTTTCAAGTTCCAAAGAATTACAGTCATTTAAAAGGGTGATTATGAAGATTAATGTAGCAACATGGGAAATTTTGTGATGTAATGTTGGGTGAAAAAGGCAAGATCCAAAGTCATCATGTGTGTTCCGATTTCAACCACGTGAAGACAAGCAAATAGAAGAAGATGAGGGAAATGAACAAAAGTTCATTAGTTCTGTTACAGGGCTGGGATTCCCCATACTTACAAAAATCAACCTTATAAGTACATTTGGAATCATTTTGACAAATTTACACACCTACATAACATCACAGATCATTGTCATCATCCCAGCAAACTTCCCGTACCCCACCCCCTTCACTCCTGGCCCTCAGGCAGTGATTGTTTCTTGTCATTATAAATTAGATTTGGCTCTTCTAGAGTCTCGTAGGCATGGAGTCCGATCCTCTGCAGCCTCTTGTTGTCCTGGCTGTTTCCCTCCGCGTGTCTGCGTCCGTCCTCCCCTTCCTCAGCTATGTTCCTAGCTAAAGGCTGTACCTCCCAGCCTTCCTTGCATTTAGATGCGACCATATGATAAAATGGTAGCCAAGGAAACATAATTAGAGGAGCCAAGGGACTTCTGGGGACACTGTGTAAAAGGGAGAGGTAGACACCTTTTCCTCTTCTTCCCCTTTCTCCTTGCTGTTGGTCTGGAATATGACCTGATGAGTGGAACTCCAGCAGCCCTCTTGGAACAGGAAGTGACCCTTAAAGGGTAAGAAGAAAAAGAAAGTTAGTCCGGGTCCCTGATGACACACTGAAGCGGACACAACACTCTCTACCTCTCAGACCATATTTTCCTTTTTTTATTAAAATACGTTGATATATAATACTGGTTTCAGATGTACAACATTATGATCAACAATTATATACATTACTAAATGCTCACCACTATAAGGGTAGTTACCATCTGTTACCAAAGAAATTACAATAATATTGTCTATATTCCCTATGTTGTACTTCCATCCCCATGACTACTTGATTTTCAATTTTGAAGTTTGTACCCCTTAACCCCTTCACCTATTTCACCCACTCTCCCACCCCATCAAACCATGTAACATGGAAACTTGTAATTGAAACTAACTCTAATTGCTCCGTAAGCCTCTAGTACTACTTGGTTTTTTTAAATTGTGCACATTTGATTATAATTCTAATTTAAAAAATATGCTTTTATACCCAAATCTGACAAAAGGAGTTAAAAAAAATTCACAGGTCAGTATCTTTCCTGAACATGGAGGCAAAAATTATTGACAAAATGTTGGCAAATTGAGTCCAGCAATATAAAAGGAATAGTGTACCACGACTAAATGGGATTTTATCTCAGGAATAGAGGTTGTTTTCAGCATTCAAAAATCCATCAATATAATTGACTATACTAGAATAAAGAATTAAAAATCAAATGATTATCTCACTAGATGCAGAAAAAGCATTTGAAAAAAAATCAGTAGTCCCTCATGATAAAAATTGTCAGAGAACTAAGAATAGAAGTGACCTTCTTCAGCCGGATAAAGGGCGATTCTGAGAACCCCTACAGCTAGCAACATACTTAATGGTGGAGAACTGAAGGCTTTCCCGTAGCATAGGGAACAGTGAAGAATGACCACTCTTAACACATCAGTTAAATATTGCTCTGGAACCCTTAGCCAATGTATAAAGCAAGACAAAGACGTCAAAGGCACAGATTTGAAGGAAACGGAAAATCTTTCTCAATTATAGGCAACATGATGGTCTATAGAAAATCCCAAGGAATCTAAAAAACACACATACACACAAAAACCCAACTAGAATAAGTGTATTTAGCAAGGTTGAAGGATACAAGATCAATATACAAAAAAATCTACCAACGACAATTAGAAAATTATAATCTTATAAATTCTGCTTACAATAACATCAGAAAGCATAAAATACTTAGGGATAAATTCAATGAAAGATGTGCAAAACCTCTTAACTGAATATTATAAAACACTGAAAATATTTAAAGACGTATAAGCTGATGGAAATGAAAGAATATTTAGATAAATGAATAGATGTGGCACATTTGTGGATTGAAAGACTCAGTATCATCAAGACGTCAATTCTCCCCAGATTCATCTGTAGATTCAATGCAATCCTACTTGAAAACAGCTGTGGTTTTTAGACATTAACAGGGTGATTCTAAATTTGCATGGAATTTTTAAAATAACACAATGGATCTAAAATAGGGTAAAACCGAACCAATGCCGGAACAGAGACAGCAGAGGGAGAAAGAATAGCTCTGATCAGGGAACTCAGCAAAAGCTCCCCAAGGGAGATGCCATTTGAACAGTGAGTTGAAAGGTTCTTACCATCTGGAGACATTCATGAAGGGTACTGATTTTCCCAGGTTTTGCTGTGTGTAAGGAACTAACGCTAGTCAAATGGGGGTGTTGCATGTGGAATTGTCTCAGTGGAAATCCTTAGTGAGACCCAGATTCTGGCCTCGGAGGGCAGTCCTGGATCCCCTCCCGGCCTTGGCAGCTAGAGCCCCACATCCTGAATGCCATCGCCAGTCCATGTCCATGCTCTTGCCTCCCCCTACCATGTGCTTTGGCCCCTCTGTACCTCCAGATATGAAGCCAGTAGGACAGGTTAGAACCATGTGGTGAGAGGCCGTACTTGGCCAGACAAGTTGTTTTTTAATCATTGTAGCCACTGACCAGAAAGAAATGATCACGTTTGCTTTTAGGCAGATAATTCTGCTGGTGTGTGGAGAAACTAGAGGCTGCGGAGCGGGGAAGAAGGTACTCCAGGCGAGAGAGAATGAAGAACAAATTGTGGAACTCAGTGAATCTGGGGACTGAGTGGTAGTAAAAATATGTCCTTCCCTGGTCAAAAACGGTTATATCCCCTTAGGAAACTGGGAGGGTGGAATAATTCGTCAGTGTTTGGAGAAACCTGTCCAGTTGATCCTGGCTGAGAACTGCTGGTCCCAACAGTGCTGATGGGAATGGAGAAATGAGAACAGGTGGAAGACAGGGATGGTTTGGGAACCACTGGACTTAGTGTAAGAAGTTGTCCAGGGGATGCTGGCTGCAGTTTCCAGCTCAGGAAGCTGGGTGGATGATGGCTTCGTCTGCCAGTATTTAGGAAATACAGAACACAGTAGCTTTGTATATGGGAAAGGGGCTGAGAGGGGCTGAGAGAAGAATTTGTCTCCATGTCCCAGAGAGCTCAGGACTTCAGTCCTGCTGAGTGGGCCCAGCAGGCAGAGAGCTAGAGGTGGACTGACCCCAGCCAGCCCTTTAGTTTTGCCTCCGTAGGGCAGACCCTGCTGGCGAGGCAGGTATTCTCTGGGCATTGATTAGTTGCTCACATGCTGAGGCTTAGGGCTCTGAGCTAGTACAAAGCAGTTTTCTCCATGATTCTGTTGGTAGTGTTGGTGGTATTTAGCATGGGCTATGTTAACCCCTCGCCAACCGAGTTTCAGACGCTGGAACGTCCGAATAGCAATCCGGTTCCAGGATTCCACTCTAATGATTCCTCTGCAGAGATTTTTCACGAAGGAACTAGGGACAGGCATGTGGATAAGATTAAGGGAACCAACAAAGGCATCCGAGGGCTATCATCAGTGGGGAGCTGTTGCCCCATCTGCGCCGGAAGGGGCCGAGGGGGAGGATGGAATTACTGGGGCCCAGGGGAAATGAGCTGTGCAGGAAGGCAGTGGCTGTCACAGCCTCCAAGGCAGGGAGGGACAGGCCGGGAGCACAGCAGACTCTCCTTCCTTCCACGCTCCAGTCTCCTATGGGTGCCTCCCCTTGGCCAATGCCAGCTGGGAACCAGCCATCAGGGGAGCATATAGGGGCCAGCCTTGTGGACACGGAGAGACAGAAAAGGCTGGAGAAAGGATCAGGTGTGTGGGTTTAGAGGACAAGTGAGATACACCAGCCCAACCACATCCTCCAACACAGCCTGTGTAAGGCATGGCCCAAGAACCCCATGGAACAGCAGAAAACCACACCACCGGAAGTCAAGTTATTTGGATTCCTGACGGCCTGACCCTGCCACACACCGGCCGTTCAGAGGGGCACATCACTGGCACCTTGGACTTCGACAGCTGGAAAATGAGTAGGTTGGAGCATGTGGCCTTCAAAGCCTTCCAACACAGGGGCCCTTGACTATGCCCTATGTCAGTGTGTCTCTTGCTGCTGAGTATAGACGGCTCGGTCTGGGCGCACTGCTCCAGGGCTCCACCCCAAGCCCACAGGGCGCTGTGCCAGACAAAGGACAGTGCTGGGGAATCCAGGGACTGGCCAGCATCTGGGACTAGACCTGGCGGTCCTCTCTTCCAGCGAACCCCTGGGACATGCAGAGTCAACTAGGGACTTTCTTAACGTACTTTTCACTGAGCTGTACATTCAAAAAGAAAGAAGAGTGTATTCATCTCCAGAACACTGCAGCCTCCCAGACCTGTGCTGCTGCAGCTCCAAGTCCTGGTACCCCAGCTCAGTTCCTGATAACTGAAGATGAAACTTGAACAGCAAAAGGGAAGTCTCCTGTCTCCTACAGGGTATCAAATCCTGTTTCTAGACAGTTTCAGTTCTTAAAGACATAGGATTCCATATTTTCTCACCCATTAAGCTGGAAGGCAGAGAATGTTCGGTGACCACCAACCACATTTGCACAGCCCTGGGGTGAAATGGAAGCGCGCCACAGAGCCGCTTGGAAATCTGGGCTTGAAGGGGGGGTCCAGATATTTCTGAAATGTATCATTGTCTTTCTCCTTATTAATGTAAACAATAGGTCTGGGTATATGCACAGATTTGGTAGTCTGATCTGGGGCTGGAGTGCCTCTCCCGCTTTTACTTTCCTAGCTCTCTGTGCAGGTCAGGTGACTCAGAGTCGTGAGCAGCTCATTTTCTTTTGGAGGTGGGAAGATGTGTGCACAGTGGCTTCCGCGTCACTCCAAGGCTGGCCTCGGGGAAATCCTCTGTTTTGCCTGGAGAATGGGGCCGAGGTGTAATGCACTGGCATCTTGCTGCCTTCAAAGTGTTTATTTGTAACTAGAGGTGCAGTTCTCTGTTACTAGTTTTGTGGGCTCTGCCATTGACTAAAGAGGTGAGAGGAGGGAAAAAAAGATAGACAAAGAGGAGACTATGAAAAAGAAAAGGTGGAACAGATGTTAGTAAAGGTTCCCAAGCATGGGAAAATACACAATAAAGAGAAAAGGTGATGTGCCCACTTGAAAAAGGAGAAAGGGAGATGTTTCCAGGAGGATTCCGCTTGGGCCCTGTAAGTTTTCTTAGTGAATCAGACATGGGAACAGGTGAAGACGAGGTGGGGTGGAGTCTTTCACAGCAGGATCCATCATTTGCATACTCACTTATTAAACAAGCAGTAATAGTAGAATGGCATGTATGCTATGACCCACAGAGCCAAGGGAAGCGTATAAGAAGAGCACATAATCAAATCCATCGGGGATCACAGAAGCTGCTGGAGAAAGTGACATTTAGCCTGTGGTGTAAAGGATACTTAGGAGTTGGAGAAAAAAATAAAGAGGAGCTGCAAACCTGAGGACCTTACTCTGGGTGACGCAGCCCAGGACAGCAGAAATGGCCCAAGAGACACCACTCCTTGGAGGCGACACTCAGGGTCAACACACTGCCTGGCTTTCTCTGTGTCTCTGTCCAGGTGGGAGAACATCTTCCAAGAACATCTGACCTTGTGTAAAAATAAATTTCAAAACAAGGAAACATCGTGGCTTTTATTCACATACGAAATGAGCAGGTGTTGATATTTCTACTTACTAAAGATTAAATAAGATCATAAAAATTAAAGATCATCAATCAGTGGAGGAGCTGAGCAGTTCTAAGAGAATCTAGAGAATATCCTCAATATCTGTGGATTTGGAATATTGCAGTCAAAGTGCAAATGGAGTCAAACTGGTTTTTCAAGGGAGAGGAAGGACAGCAAATTGACAGCTATGGACAGGATATCATTTGCATGTCTGTAGATAAGAATTATTTTGTATTGTTATGAATTAGCTGTATTTTACAGAGCTGTAAAATGGCTCAAAGACACTGAAAGATTATAATTAGAAAGCCTGAAGGATGTCCTCTAAACAATGCATTGTTTTCCCTTGAACTTTTTCCCTTCAAGACCAATCTGTTAAATTGTTTTTTTTCCCCCTCAAGCCAGGGCCATGGGTGATTTGTGCCCCAACTCCTCTGTGCACACGTGATAACTTAAGGAACCCTAAGCAAATATTAAAGATTTAAATAATAATGACCGTAGAATAAATGAAAATAGAGCAAGTATATTGACAACATTTAAATAAAATTGAAGGTATCAACTGAAGAGATTTGTTTCCTGTGTGTTTTGGCCCCAAGCCTCCACCTTCACCATCACCCACCTATTGTCACTCTCAACATTACAGTTACAAGGCCTCTGCGAAATCACCATGGATTTACGGGAATCCCTAATTTCCCACGGGCAAACTGACCCAGATGAAGAATTATAGGAACAAAGGAATCCGTTCGGTCCATGCCCTTCAGTGGGGAGACAATGAGAAATTCACATCATAATTAGAATAATATTAAGTGATTTTGGGGAGCTGGAATGGGGGTGAAGGCTTCATTAGGATGAAGATAAGGGAAGCCTCAACCAGGGATATATGGATAAATACTCCCTGCCTTGTTGTTGCTTACAATCTAAGCAGGGGTAGTTCCTGTTCAGACCAAATGGAGAAAATCATTAGATCTCCTCGGCTCAAACTGAGACAGGTCTGGAAATGAGATTTCAGAAAATGCGTAAGATGATCCTTTAAGGCGTGTGGGAGGTGTTTTCTCCATGTGGTTCTGCTCCCCATACACACAATGGGATGCCTGTTAATTGTTTGAACAATAGCTAATTCTCACAATTACTTGTTTTGTTTTTAATAAATATCTGATCTGATAAATGAATGTATTGTTTAGTACAATAGGTGATCAAAATGAGTAATTACTAATCAAGTTTAGTAATAATTACCTAATAATCAGCAAATTCTCTGCAACAGTTCAAGAACAGCTATGAGGTTCTTTCCATGCTTTTGCCTCAGGATGCTGGCCACCGTCTGTTTCTCCAACCCTCATGGTTTCTCCCTTTCAGAAAGTACTGCCTGGCATTGCGCCTTCTGTGGGTTTGTGACATTTTGGAAGGTAATGTTTTGCTTTGCTGGCTGCTGATCTAGAGGAACGACTACAAGAAAGCTTGGCGAAGGCTGCCAGAATCCTCAGGACACTGCCCTGCTTCCCAGGCCCCTGGGCGAGGGGCGCCTGCTCTGTCCAGGAATGAGTCACCCTGGATTCAGACAGCACAGGGGCAGAACTCAGAGCACAGTAGAAGCTGATGCCCTGCACAGGGTGACTGAGAACTTAACTGTCCAGGAAGAGTCTTGATTAATGGATGGGTCGATAAGGAGCAGGTTATTAAGGGAGACAGAGGTTCCGAGTGTGCTTCTGTCCTTGAAGAACAGTGTCTTAGAATGCAAACACTGGATTCTCCCTCGCCCTTTCCTTCTGTGCCGCGGTTGGAATTCTGGGCTAGTGGCCTTTGGTCTGATCTGTGACGACATTTCTAATCTCCTTAAGAATGATGTACCAGAAAAGGTCACGCTAGAACACCCAGAAGAGCAGGGGGGTTGTCTCCAGCAGCAGAGTCTGCCCTGAACAGAGTCCCAGATGTAGGACACAAGTTCTTCAAGCATGCCACGTGCTAAATACAGACTTTCAGTGAGGTCACGCTAATAGTGGTGGTGTCCCTGGTACGAGTAGTGACCTCACTGATCTCCTTTGTTCCCAAACAGGGGAGGCCGAGCTCGTCAAGGTGGTCAGTTTCCAAATGGGCCATCCAGGGAGGTCTCCTTGACTCCACGCACAGAGCAGCTTGTGGAGACTCGCCTCGGCAAGCTCCACTCTGACACCTTGAGTTCTGTGGCGTTCTTAGGGGGCCTTCCAGCAGCATATCCTCCGGGGCATTCATCACACCTTGCCTGGGCGCCCCTGCTGGTTTGGTTCAGCACGCCAGGATCCCATCCCTTTCTTCCCTTCCTCCCGGGCCTATGTTCTTCCTTCTTTCTGTTCCCAGGCTTTCCGTCACATACCTTCTTGCCGTGACACGGATGACTCTGCCAGGACTTCCTGGATGTCACGGGAGGGAAGGCGTGTCAGTGAGGTCGGGGGCCTCCCCTGTCTTGCAGCTCCTGCTAGGCCAGAGCCCACAGCCCTGCTAAGCACACCACACTCTGGAAACCCTAGCGCTGATGGGAAAGCAGAGAGGGGCTTTTGGGTCTCTCACTTTCCTGTCCGCGAGAGTCATCGTTCTTAACCAAGGTTTGGGGCCAAAGCTGGGGCCTGATTCAATGATAGAAACCCCAAGGTTCAGGGCTGGGCTGGTGCAATACGGGGCAAGACGGTGGACAGGAAGTGGTGTGGCTGTGTGGGTGGGAAGGAAGGGCTTCCTTCCTCTCTGGCACTTTCTATGCCGAAGCGGCCTTTCTCGGCCTGCCTCTATTCCCCTCAGCCCAGTAAAAAGACACTCTGAGACTTAATTCAGGTGAGGTGCCCAGGCCTGGCACCCAGCAGCAGTGTGAACACAGCCAAGCAAATCCAATCCCCAGTGACGTGTCCACTTTCCCTGGCCCTCCAGGAAGCATATAATACAGCATCTCAGATTTATACAGAATTCTCCCTTCTTCAAGGTAGGAGATGGGGAGCTGAGACAGTCCCCCAGTGATAGTAGGAGCTTGATAAGGATGTTCTTAGGTGCCAAGCTCTGGGAACATTTGGTTTGGGGAACTCTTGACACATCTCTGGTTATCCTGGAGAGGACTTGGTCCGCAGCACCGTGATTCACCACCCTGTGATACCCGAGTTTGGGTTCCCTGACTCCAAATTTACTGCTTAGACACCAAAAGTGTAGGCTGCTCAACCCTCTGTTCAGCAGCTCATTTGAATCAAGTTCTTGATAGCAGATAAAGCGATTAGCACACGGGAGCAAAATGGCTGGCTCTGGAGGGTATATAGGAGACACATCTGAAGGACTTGTGGGATTACCCTGGCAATACAGAGGGATCAACTGTGATGCCTAGGTTTCTGACCAGGTGGAGGGCAGAGCCCCTTATTAAACAGGTAAAAACAGATTTAGAGGCATGTTGGAAGGGGAAGATGAAATGACATCAGCTGTGAACATGTTGAGTGGGATACACGGGAGGTGTCCTCTCAGAGATGAGTGGCCGGCAGCTGGATATGCAGGTCTGCTCTCAGGAGAGGTTGCTGGGCTCTGGGTACAGATGTGGAAGTTACCAGCGTGGAGACAGATGGAGACTGAGGCCCCAAGAAGAGCCCCTTTAATCTGAGAAGCAGCAGGTAGGGAGGAAGAAATACAGAAGTCAGTGTCTTGGCTGTTGGGCAATAAAGGAAGATAAAACCTGAGATATGCCCTTTAGATTTAGCAACCAGAGCTTACTGGTGATCTCCAAACAGGCAGTTTCAGTGAGGTGGTGGAGGTAAAACTTGATCTTCTTACGGCTGACTAACAGATATTAACCAGATCCAGTTCCTCCACTCCCTGAACACATGGATAAATTCCACTTCCCGACCTCTTTTTAGCTGGGTGAGGCCCTGTGACTGAGGTCCGGCCATGGGCTGCGGGCAGAAGTGATGCATTATCCCCTTCAAGATATAGCTAGCCCCTTCCCCTGCTTCCCTGGGCCCTTCCTCCCTAGTGTAGCCAGAGCAGAGGATCTGGGGGACTCCAAGGCCCTGGGGGCACAGAGCAATTAAACAGAAGGAGATGGTCCCCTGAATAATTATGTAGAGCCAGCAGGCACAGACGCCCTGGAGTCAGCGGTGCCAGTAGGGGTCACAGCGCATGAGCAGTCGAGATAGCTAGAGGGTCTGCAAACCAGGAGAACCAGAAGTCCCGCAGGATGAGGCTGAGACCCACCAGAGTGGACAGCATTCCCTGCGGGCATAGAACCAGCTGAGGCTGAAGGATAGCAGCAGAATGCCTGTGGGTACAAGGCACACGCTTGATGTGTTCACTCTCACAGCCGCAGAGGCCCCAGGGACTCTGCCTCTGGGTCCACCCTTCATGGATGGGCTGCTTACCAGCAATGTGCAGCTCTGGCCAGCCTTGTGAGGCGTGGACAGAAGGTCCTGCCCTGGCACACCTCCTTGTGGCATGACTCCGCTGTCAGAAAATCCAATCCAGGAGATCTCTCTAGGTGCTAGATGAGATCTCAGTGGGGAGAGGGCTCTTGGGCCTGATGGAGAAAGAATTCACGAGGTTGAGCAGGTGCAAGCAAAGAGTAGTTTGGTAAAGCAAAGTGCACACCCCAGGAGGAACTGCCACATGCTCCAGAGATGAGCAGCGCTGTCAGGCCCAGGTTGCAGTCTCTCACGGCTGGGGTTGAAACGGTGTGGAATATTCACTGGGATAGGTGGGGTTTTCTTGGAACAGGGAGGGGATTTCTGGGAAATGGGGAGAGTGATGCCCTCTTTTTGTCCTTAGATGGTCTTCCTCGGAACAGGCATGGTGCCAAGGGCATGATGTTTAGTATGCTAATGAGCCTATAATGTATTTGGAGGTGAAGACAGGGTCAGCTGTTGGAACCCCATGTTGGAACCAGTCAGCCCTGGCAAGTCTGGTGTCTATACCCTCCCTCCCCACATCCTGCTAGAACAGTTTACGTGGAATGTTTAGAATATAAACAAACATCTCACCAAATGTAAAACACCTGCCCAGGCCCCAGCCCACTCCCCGCTCCTGGCCGGCTCGGGCCTGACTCCACCAGCTCCACTGGACCAGGAGTCAGACCCCCGGGGCTCTCTGCCTGGTGCCGCTCCTCACCCACAGGCGGCCTTGAGCAAATCCCTTCCCCAGCTGCTGTAAGCCCTTCATTTACAAAGTGAATGTATCAGGCCGGATGATTTTAAGTCTCTTCCACGGAAAAACCGCATCGTTGCCCTGGACCGAAACAGCACTCGGGAAGCTTGGGCCAGGTTCTGCCAAGAGGCATCTGCTCTGCTCTGTAAGAGCGACTGCCGGGCCTCTGACAAGGGAAACCCTGCAGCCTGCAGCTGTGTGTTAGAGGAGACCAGGCAACCTCGCATAGGCAGGGGGAGCCTCCTCCTAAGAGAGAGGAGGCGGGTGGGGAGCAGCCAATATGAACATGACCTGTCAGCAAGTCCATCACCCCTGGGTGGGGCTACATTCCATTTTTCTTTCTTTCTTCTTTTTGAACCATCTACAGTTACAACAAAGCACTTTCCTTTCTGTTCCCATTTTTTATTCCCTTTATGATGAATGGCTCCACCCTCCACAACTCCCTTGTTCCAGGGAAAAAGAATTGGAGGGAGGTGGGGAGAGCACTCCCCTTCGGCTTTTCTCACCGAGGCCACTTCACCTTGGCGTGGTTCTGCTTTCCCTGAAAGAATAGAGTCGGATGGAACTTTTGAAAGGAAATTACTCTCGTCTTCTACCCAAATATTTGTTTATTTTGAAGGGCACAGATTTCCCCCATCCAACTGCGGTTCAGACTAATATAAAATAAACTTGTCCCCAAGCCTCGGCCTCTTTACGAAAGGGGGAGGGGGCCCAGGAGTGTACAGAGCAGTTGGGAAAACCAGCCTGGAACAGAAAACTTTCCATGACAGCCAGGCTTGGGCAGGAGAGCTGACCAAGATAGAGGGCTATGCAAACATAATACCCATGTGAGTCACACGCAGCACGCCCGTTTGGGACAGAGTTGGGACGGCAGGGGAGTGCCACTGGCCTTTGCTCTGCAGCCCCAAAGGGCCTCCTCCGACATAGACGTGGCCGTGGGAGAGAGGACCGGAGGGAGAACCACGACCAGGAGCCACCGGACAACCCGAGGAGATGAAAGGTGGCCTCTTTAGGAAGAGGAGACACTTTGTGTCTCTAAATTCCAAGAACTTGTTGAAAGGAGCTAGGATAACCACTTTTATTACCCAAATTCTAGAGGAAATTATTCTGCATAACATGGAACCTACTAGCTGCCGAAGTGTGCGAAGTGCTCCTGAGGTGGCCTCCCTGCCTGGGTCTCCTCAAGGTCCTGAGTCAGGTGCTGGGGACACAGCCTGGGGCTCTGGGGAGGTGGCCTGGCCACAGGTCCCCCTGTACACGGGCGCAGAGAGAACCTCCTCCCAGGGCTGAGGAAGACCAGGGCTCCTGACTCAGTGAGGAGGGCGATCCTGGGGCTTCATCGGGGCAGACAGCTGGCCATGGCATCGGGCCGTGGCATGGGCACAAAGTTCACAGGGCACAGCAGCAGCGGGCACATCTTCTCGTGCTCCTTGAGGGCCTCGCTCAGGTGCTTCAGCTCCTCCGTCAGCTTCCCAATCTCTCTCCGGAGCACTGTGTTTTCTTGCTCCAGGCATTCATATTCCTGGGGAACACAGAGAATGGGCACAGTTGCTTCTGAAACCACCTTCCCTTCTGCGGACCCCCTGGCAGGTCTGACCCAAGCCACGGTGCTCCCCTCCTTCCCACCAAAGCTCTCTCATTAACCGTGGCCCCCTCCACCACTCACATTTGTTCATTTGCTTAGTGTCTCTCTCCTCCTACCAGGATGAAAAGGTTCACCAGGGTAGGGCTTTGTTTCTTGAGCCAACTTTATTGACGTATAATTTATATAAAATAAAATACACCTATTTTAAGCATGTAATTCAATGAGTTTTGACAAAGGTAAACAACTATGTTGACCAAGGCAGAATGTTTCCATTATTCTGAAATGTTCCCTCACGACCCTGTGGTAAGCCTCCCCACTGCTGATCTGCTTTCTGAAGGTGTCTGTTGAGGTCACTGCAGGTCCCCACACCCGGAACAGGGCCTGGAACATAGCAAATGTTTGTTGATTGAATGTGTGAGTGAATTAAAATACCCCTTGCCCTGGCTTTGTTGCAACACTCAACTGTTAAAAAGTTTCACTGTATCAGAGTTTATGGAGGCTTAGAACTGGAGGGGATCACAGAGACCCCCTATCCCAACACAAATAATGTAGAAACCTTCCATACCTAATTCAAGCTTGGACATCCAACTTGTTCTGGGAACTGTTTTCTTTGAAGGACTGTCTTTGCCATTTCTGAGCTGCTCTGGAGAGCTCCACTTTGTACTAACCCCAAATCTCTCTCTCCAGATCTACCTATTTGGCTTGGTTCCACATTATGGAACCACACAGAGTAAATTCAATACTTTTTCAACATCACAGTTCTTAAAATGTTAAGAGACAGCCGCATACCACTTCCCCTTGGGTGTTCTCTGAGCTCAATTATCTCAGGTCCTCTGAGTTCCATGAGTTGTAGGACTTCTAGTCCCTCTGCCCTCCTTGAGGTTGTCCCTAATAAACATTCCAATTTGCCAGGATCTCTGAAAAAGTGTGCATTTTTCTGGGGATGGCCTGACCATGCAGAGGGCAGATGAATGGGTGAGGCCTACTCTGGGCTGGACTCAAGCCCACAACCACCTTGCTCTGGGGATTCTCTCTGAGTTTGCAAAGAAGTACAAGCTTCACCTGCACCTGCTGCTTCGTTGTCCAGACTTGGATGCTGGCTGATGTTTTGAAGCTTAAGGGTGGTCCTTATATTCGCTTCTAATGAATTTCACCCTGTTTGTTCCGGCATCTTCCAGCTTAGCAAAATCTTTTTGAATCGTGGTTGCATCAGCTCACAGATTAGTGATAGCACGCAGCTATATGCTCTCCACTAACTAGATCAGCAGGTTTTCCTTTTCTTCATTCAAGTCATTATTAAGTTCTGTGATACTCAGCCAATTGCAGAGCCCTGTGGCATGCCAGTAGAGACCTTCTCAACGCTGATGATCTTATTTAAATCTTGCTGAAACATTTTTCCATCGTTTCTATTTTGAACCATGGCTCTGTTGTACCATACATGCCATACATTTCCTGAGCTGGTGACCCAATCTTATTATCCATCACATCTCTTCTCTTACTAGTAATTGTTAAGAAATGTCACTAAAAAGGTCTGATCTTAAGCACCCTGAAGGCACATGCTGTTCTTCCCAACTGGAAGGCTTTCCTTCTTTTCCGGGTGGGCCCAGCTCAAGCCCACAACCTCGGCAAAGGCTTCCCCACTCTCGGCCCCTCACACATCTGTCACTGTGTGTTCTGTTCAGTTTTGTATCATATTCTATCTTACTTATATTAAGTAGAGTCTCCCCCTAAAGATCAGATGTCTAGCTCCTAGGGGCCCCTCTGGTACCTCCACCCAGCCTGTCGGACCACAGTGCCAGCATCTAAGTGCTCAGTGATGGTCAGACCTAGTCCTCTGTCTCCTCTTACCCTCTTCTTCCCGCCCCCCCACCATAGGCACCTTCCTCCCTCTCAGAACAAGGGACCCTGAGAGGCTGCATGCAGAAGCCATCAGAGCCATTCCTCTGCCTCTTGCCTGGCAGGCTGTCAGCATGGTCTGGAATATTCTCCAAGGCAGCAGGCCTCACCCTTCTCCCCACGGGCTGTCCTGGGTCACTTTGGCTTCTTCACTAACGTACTGGCCTGCTCTGCCTGCAGCCCTCCCAACTCCATAGGCTCTCCTCTGGCCTCTGACACACTCTAGTCCTGGAGTCAGAATCCGGTCTCCCAAAACAGCAACAAGCCTTCCATGAGCAAGGGGAGAGTCAGTCCAGGAGGATGGGATAGAGGCCTAGGCCTCTCTCGGGAGGGCTGCCTGCATCAGAGGGGTGAGAGGCTAGAGCTCTGTGGGACACACACGCACACTTCATTCTGCAACTGGAAATGCTCTTCACCTTCAAGTAAAATGGAGAAGAGATTTGAATGGTTCCATTCTAACGAGATACCAAAGAAGCATAGCAAAGCCTCTTCCTGCGGCAGAATATTCCAAACCACCTTTCTACATTTACTGAATTTTGTGGCAAGATGTTCTGAGCCTCTGAACTTTATCTCTGGAAGCCACGTGGGCCATGCTGCCTAGAGCCCTCCTGTGGTCCCCCCCACGGCTGCTCCCAAGCCCCAGCTCAGAAAGGTGTCAGAGCTGCTGCATGGGCTGCCAAGCAGGCCCCAGAGAGCTTTCTTCAGGGGGACTTCCTCGTCTGGGATTTAGGTCTTACTCACAAGCCTGCTGGGGGACTTTCATCAGACTGAAGAAATGAAAAGGAGAGAAAAAGTCGAAATCTTCTTCAGGTGAGACCAAGTCACCACCAACAAGGGAAGGAAGGCACTGGGAGGTGATGGGGACGGGGTGGGAGGACGGTGAGTGGGAACCAGAGGGGGAAGATGAGGCCAGATTTCACACACGTGAAAAATAAGCGAGGAGCGTGAGGTCCTTTGTTATTTGCAGAGTGAGGATCAGTTTGGCTCAAATCTTGCAGGGTTTCGAATCTATTGCCCCAGGAGGGTTCAAGGTCACTGTGTGACCTCCCTGGGTATTTGCCAGGCTACATTCACAATGCAGAGACCCCGAATGAGAGGTGGTGAAAACTACCGTACATCCCAATTCTGCCTCAGAAATTCAGCTGTCTAGGGCAGTGGCTCTCAACGGGGGCAATTTTGGCAGCCCCCAGGGGACATCTGGAGTGTCTGGAGACAACTTGCTTGTCACAGCTGGGGAAGGGGTGTTACTGCATCTAGGGGTCAAGGCCATGGATGCTGCTTAATGTCCTGTGTATGGTGGACAGGACAGCCCCCACGAGGAGTTAGCCGCCCCCAAATGTCATAGTGCTGAAGCTGAGAAGCCCTGGTCTGGGAGCCTCAGAGAGGCAGCCTGGGGAATGAGGAGCTTTCTGGGGGTATCCAGGGTCCAGGATGCGTCTGAGGCAGAAGAGAGGATCAAAGACTGGTCAAGAAGTGAACGTGGGTACCAGGGACTAGGGATGAAACTAAGGCTGGAGGGAAATGAGGGAGGGGAAGAGGGCGCCAGGAGGACACAGCCACACACAGACCCCATCTCACAAGCGAGAAAAACTGAGAGGTACACTGATTTGTCCAAGGTCAAGTCTGGATGTGGAACCTGATCTATGATTTCAAGATCAACTGCCACTCTCATGCAATGACGGCAAGGCCGCCTCTGCTTGGCAAGGCCTGGGCCCAAATTTCCCCATGGTGGTTACCAGCAGCAAGGGGCCTGTGAAAGCTCAGAATTTTACAATAAGTCTGTTCCCAAGCCTTAAGCTGACATACTTCCCAGCAGAAAAATTATGTCACCAGCAAAGACTGTACAAGTCAGTGTCATCACAGGTTTCTAAACCAAGTGGGGACTGACATGGAGCATTCTTGCAGAACATGGGAGGGGAGGGAGGCGGCTGAGAGACGTGGGAGGCCGGGCCTGGAGGAGGTTCTCAGGGTGCTGGAGTCGAGGAGGCTCCAGAATGGCTGGAGTGGGTGAATGAGGCAGGCAGGGGGGAAAGGCGGCGATTTTAGACCAGCCTCGCTCTGAGTATCGCCCTTCATGGTAGCCAAGAAAGACAAAGAAAGATGGAGTGACTTTGAGATACGAAACTATGGCAACACATACCACAACCATATTGCCCAAGAAATGTGTCAGTCTGTGGCATGTGGGGCTCCTGACATGGCATCGCTGCCTTCCTTCTGTGACTCAGAATTCATTCTCGGTTTTACACCTCTGGGTGCCTGGCTTGAACCAGTCTGACCCACTTCTGAGAGAAGTCTTACAGACATGTACCAGGGAGCCGGACTGGTCACTCGGATGCCTGTTTGTGAATGCGGTGGACTCAGACGTGTGCCTAATGTTGAGAGATGAGCAGGGGACAAAATCCCCGTGAGAGGTGTAAGCGCCTCGAGGGGATGATTTGAGAAGCCACCCTCAACACGGAGGAGCACAGATACACCAAAGGAACTGCTTCTCATCGCTGCAGTCCAGCTTCCAGGAACCACCACCCTGAGGGGAAGCAGGCTGAACAGTGGCCCGGGGCCCTCTCTGGCTCGGCCTGCCCTGCTCCCCGCTCCTGCCCTCCAAGGAGGGCCTGCTTTGATGCACAGTCCTCCCACTCTGCAGACAGAGACAGTGCTGGGAAGGGAGGGAGGCGGCTGAGAGACGTGGGAGGCTGGCCTGGAGGAGGTTTTCAGGGTGTTGGACTTGAAAAACGGCTCCAGAATAGCTGGAGCGGGTGAATGGGGCAGGCAGGAGGGAAGGGTGGCGATTTTAAACCAGCCCTTCTCTGAATATTCCCCTTTATGGTAGTCAAGAAAGACAAAGAAAGATGGAGTGACTTTGAGATATTTAGCAATGCTACCCCACAGTAGGGGATGGAGGAATGAATGGGTAAAGGCCTTTTGACCACCTCAGGGAGCAGCTGGCAGCCATGGCTAACAGCCGGCTGTGCTCTGTGCCCCTCGACGTCTCCCAGCCAGCTGGCCTCATTGCAGGTGTGAGGAGGTTTCCATGCACTGTCAAGCTCTTGCGTTCCCCACCCTTGATGTGCCCCGGGAGCCCCAGGACAGCCGGAGCTGTGCGCTAGTGCTCAGCCCTCAACTCTCTGGAGCACAGTGAGGTTATGCTCCACCATGTTCTTCAGCCAGACACCCATCCTCAATATGGAGATTTTTTCAGAGTTTAAAAAATGCTCTTTTTTCTTACTATGGTCACTAAACTTTGGTCATGCCAAGCACGAGTCCCCACAGTGATGCAGCTCTCATGAGAGACAATGAGGAATTATCAGGGGAGGGATCTTCGGCCCAGAGGTGACGCTGCTCTTCTACAGCAGGACTGGGATGTATTTCCACTTTCCTGAGCCAACCAGCTGCTCCCTCACACCCTCCTGTGCGTAGCTGGTGCTGGTAAAGGTGTGGGCTTTGGCGTCTATATATGAATGGAGCCACTGTCCTGGCCTCCCTGCCCCAGTGTTTCTCAACAAACTGGCCTTGCTGAGGTGATGTGCCAGTGGTTTGTAATCCTGATCCATTTTTCTAGCTCCACGGAGAGAGGAGGAGGGAGTGTTCTTCCACGGAGGGCTGGGTTTCACATCAATCAGCCCCATTTCTGGAAAGGGCACCTGGCATAAGTGGTCATGTGGTACCGTTATGGACAGCAGGACAGGCAAAGAACCCTACGGAAAGGTCCCCCCACCATGCATTATGTCCAGCTCCCTTTCCCCATCCACGATGTGCCCTGGGAGCCCAAGGGCAGGAGTGGATGTGGAGTCACACCCCTAAGTCTCCAGGCAGCTGGTTCTTTTGGTTTCAAATCCAACAGTAACAGATACTGAGACTCTCTGTTTTGACACTGTAGGAAAGGATTTATGTTCCCTTCTGCAGTAGGCAGAGTAACAACCCCCCAAAAATCCAATCTCTGGAACCTGTGACTACATTACCTTACATGGCAAGAGGGACTTTGCATATGGGATTAAGAATCTTAAAATGGGGAGATGACTCTGGATCATGCAGGTGGACCCAATATAATCACCAGGGTTCTTATAAGTGAAGTAAGGGGTCAGGAGTCAGACAAGGAGACGTGACAGCAGAAACGGAGTCAAAGTACTGAGGACAACTAGCCACTGCTGCCTTTGAAGATGGAGGGGACCTCAGCCAAGGAACACGGAAGCCAGGAAAGGGAGGGAAATGGATTCTTCTCCAGAGGTTCCAGAAGGAAGGTAGCCCTGTCAACACCTTCATTTTAGCCCTGTGAGATCTGACTTCCAAAACTTTAAGATAATAAATTTGCATTGTTTAAGCCACCAAATTTGTCATTTGTTACAACAGCCACAGGAAAATATATACTGTCCTTGGGAACTGCTGTACTTCCCAAGGAGAAGACTGACATCTTGCTCTTCTCTTGGTGACCAGTGGCAATGCCTTGCCCGTAGTATTGCTTAACAAATATTTATGGAATGAATCTTTTCAACCTCGCTCCATGAAAGATCTTGTCAAAGTCATTTAGTCACCTCTACACACTAATCACTCAGGACTTACAACCAGAGTATCCTTTAATGTTTTTTATATTAATGCACTGGGCCTGGACCAGAAGCTTCTCCCAGAGAAGGGTCCTGGCTGTCCAGATAGCACATGTAGTCTGACTACAGGGCCGCACACTAACTGTGAGCCACAAGTCCCCTCTGGGGGTTATTCAGGAGCAAGCAGTTGGAAGCAGGATTGCTTCAGGAGCAAGAGGGAGGGAAGAAAGGAGGCAACGGGCGTACCCATTCTTCTATGGAAACTTGACAGAAGAGAAGGCCCACGAGAAGGACCCTCTCCGATCCTAGTCTGAAGACTCTAGTCTCTTTCCAGGGTCCAGCCTTCCTACTTCCAGGAAAGAATCTGACATTTATAATGTGTGCTATGAAGTTGTATCAGTGGGTCACCTCTCCCTGGCATATGTGCACTCGCAATCTGTTCTCTTTCATTGTTATAGGGTTTTCTGAGATCTCATTCCCCTCATAACACCTCAGTGTCTTCAATACTGTCACTGCCTTTATCCTGTCATGATAAGAAATGGCCCTGATGATAACAAGCTATGAGGAGAGAGCATGGCACAGAAGCGCTAAACTAAAATTCTAATTATTCACACTGACCCTGTGCAAAAGTGGGTTGGGTCTGTCACCAATTCCTTGGACAGACCCTTGGATGTCTTTGAGGCCAGCTCCTGATAGAAAGCAGTTTCCATGTCCTGGCTGTGAGCTTCTGTGGGATTATGCATCAGAGTTAAGGAAAACAGAAGAATTTAGGATAAATCCAGGTTCCTGATTTGGGCGACGTGAAGGATGGTTAGCTCCATTAGCTACAATTTGACTACAACCAGACACTCAGTTACAATTACACTGCCTCCCAGGAGCCAGCAGAGGACTATTTGGAGACACCAGGCAGACACTGGAGGCATGGAGCCTAGGGTCCAGGACAGAGGTCTTGCCTGGAGTATTCAATGTTGGGAGCTGATATTGGGAGGACAGATTAGTAAATTAAATCTTCCAGGGTGAGAAGAAATAAATGGAGTCTGAAAGCCTGGTCAGCACATCGTTTAAGAGAACAGAGGTTGAAAAGCTAACAAACTGAGAAAAAAAGTGGTTAAGAAGGTCTGGAGAAGCAGGAAATGTGGTCTTATAGAAGCTACAGAATTTGAACGGTGACAAAAAGGGGAGGGTCAATAGTGTCACATGTTCTAGCAAGGTCAAGTGTGATGAGGCTAGAAGGAGGCCCCTTTCGGGGCAATGCCAGGGCTCTAGTGAACTAGTGACCTTGGGGTGCCACTTCTATAGGAAGTGTGCATGTGTGTGTCTGTGTGTCTGTGTGCTGGGTCACGGGGAGAAGCAGAAGCAGTATCAGAGAGGATGGGGAATCAGTGGGAACTGCGCCTGGACTATAGGACATGGGAGAAAGCAGGTCTCTTGTTTAAGGAGCTGGGAAATGACAGAGGAAAGAAAAGAAATGGGACAGTGGCTCGGAAAGGAATCAAGATCAAGAGGAGGTTTCATTTTACTGTATCTGTAATGAAAGAAGCTTAAGTGTAAGAGGCAATCAGTAGATGAGGGACAAATTACGTTAGTGAAGAATCAGAACACCAGGCTGGAGGGGCACGGTGGAATTAGACGTGCATGTGCCAAACTGGTGATGACAGGACGTGACCTCACGGCCACCGCCATAGCTCAAGAGCGGAGGACAGTTCCTCTCTGTGGCCTCACGTGGCTCTGCCCTCACGACAGTCTCACCTCGTGGAGTTTGTCAGCCTTCTGCGTCTGCTTCTTCCGACTTCTCTGAGCAGCAACTCGGTTTTTTTCTCTCCTTCGGACCTTCCTGTCATCATCCTCAGGGCTCTGGGGGAAAATGTTTGCTTAGGGTCACTCTTCACTCAGCACAGCTCATGGAACTCCACCACGTCACCTGCAGTCCCAGTGGTGTTTGCTGTAACACCCGCGGAGTAACAGGAGCGCTCACCATGTGCAACGGCTGAGCTTGGCTGTTGAGCCCTGCGACCACCATGAGAAATGTGTGGTGTGACCACCATTTAAAAGATGAGGAATAAGAAACTCAGAGAGGTAAGGAACTGGCTCCAGGTACTACAGCTAGTACTGCGTGAATGGGAAGTGGAACTCAGGTCTGTTGGACTCCAACCCAACGTTCATAAACCTCTACCCCACAGGGCGTGTGCCTGGAAGCGTTGTGGTGTCAGTGTTTTTACCAGAGTGGAAAAGGCAGGTGCCATCTGCTCTCTGGCTGTGTGCCAGGCCTTACACCACCACAAATAGGTACTTTTGATCCTATGTGCAAATCACGATTACACTTATAACCACATAGACCCATCAACACACCCAATGACCTTGAACACCAGACAACCTGCTCCTTTGAATGACGTTTGATTGGTATTTTTTTCCACAGGTCAGTGCAAATCAGAAAGCAAATTTATGATGTGTCTTGAAAGTTCTTAACAATCCATAAGATTTAAGTAAACCTACTCAAATCCTTCAAGAGTTATTCCCAAAACAAGCAGGCAGAAAAATGCACCTACCATGGTAAAACCTCTTCAGTTATAGAAAACATGGAGAAGTAGGGTGGCATTTGCTTTCCAGAACCCTGTGAGAGGATGGGGATGCGGGAGAGGATACCACCTTTAAAGAGTTTAAAAGCCAAGAGGTTAGCGGGACACAAGCTGGACACAAGAAAACTGCTAATTGCTAATATTAATGGAAGTAAATATTGATTACATAAAATAGATATTTTCTGTTATTTTATCCAGTTTTATATTCCAAATAACAGGCAGAAAGCATCTCCTCAAATTACAGCAGGTAAAGAATTTTCAGCATATGCAGGATTATAAGGCTAAGCAAGGAGAAAGGCTCTGTCCTAAAGCAGCTGCGTGGGCAGCCCTTGGAGGTCATCCCTGGGGGCCACCTAGTATTAGTTTCCTATGCCCGCAGTTGTAAATATTGCAGAGGCAGTGCGGAGGACGGGATGCGGGCCGCAGGGTTCCCACAGGGCCTGGGGGCGGAGTCCACCCACTGCGCGCCCCCGACCCGCACGCCTAGGCTGTTCGGTACCGAGTTCCCCATTCTGGCGGCAGCGGGAGCGGGGTAGACGTCGGCAGTGCCTGCCTCATCGGGCTGAATTTTCCCTCCTCGTGCCACTCGGACAGCCGGGGAAGGGCTACGCGCGCCGGCTGTAGGGTGGCGACAGGAGGCGGCGCTAGGATGGCAACACCCGCGGCAGCGTGGACGCCACGTGCTGGGGCGCGTGAACGGTGCCTGTCCCCGCCAGCGTCCGCGCCCTCCCGTCTCTCCTCCTCCCCCGGCGCAGGGACCGGGTCACCCTCCGGGACGGCGCGGGCTCTGTGCGTGCGCTGCGGGCGGCCGGGCACAGGCGCACGCCCGGCTCCCCGGCCGCGCTGCCCTCGTCTCTGGCTCCCGCAGCGCCCCCACCCCGCACGCAGCGGCCACCACCCTGGAGCCCCAGCACCCCCCTTCGCGCCCGCGGGGCCCCGATCCTGCGCGGTGCTCCCTAAGCCCCGGCTGACTACCTGCGGCTGCGGCTGGTTCCCGGGCGCCGTGACACTCCTCTGCAGGACGCCGCCGGCGGCCGGGAGCCCTTGCGACATGCCGGGCGCTCCTCCGGCCGAGCCCGCGCCGCCGCGCGTGCAGCTCGGCCCTGCACGCCGGGCGCTGCCTACCGGCTCTGCCCCGCCGCCGGCATCCTCGCGCCCCGCACCTGCCGGCCCCCCGGCCCGCGCCCTCCGGCTTCCCTCTCGCCCGGCCCCCGCGGCCGCCGCGTCGCCGGGCTCCCCCACCCGCGGCCCCAGCCCGCCGTCCCTCCCGCCGCGGGTCTGCCCGCCCCCTGCGACTCCCACCCCCGCCTCATTTCCTCCTCTCCCCGCCCTCCCGCCGCACCTCGGGGTCCCAAATCCCACCCCTGCCGCGCCTTTCCGCTGGGGCCCCGGGCTTCGTGGAAGTCACGTGGCCCCTCCGAAACCCGGGAGGGAAGGCGAAGCCCCCCCACCGGAGGAGACGCTGGGACGGGTGGGGGTCAGGGAGGCGCCGCGCAGCCTTTGGGGTCCTTTCGGCCGCCCTCGGGGAACTCGGGGTGAGAAACACAAGTGGGTGGTTTGGGTTGGTGGGTTTTTCCCGGTCCCGGCAGTGCATCTGCCTGCGGCTCGGCCCCACCTGCCTCCAGCGCAGGGGACACAGCGTCGGGGGACTTTCTAAGCCGCGACCGGTCATCGCGGCGCCACTCACTCCTTCCGCGGCCCTGGGCTTCCCCGCCCGGAGGCCAGGCCCAGGGAGGGGACAGCTGACTCTGCCGAGTCCCGCTGCGCCCCCTAAGAGCCGCGGGCGCCCTGGGGCCTTGGCGCCGGGAGCACTTGGCCTCCTGGCGGTCCCGCCGGGCTTCGGCAGCTAGCGAGGCGGGGCGGCCCGAGGGTGAATTCCCTCGGTGGGGCGCGGGGAGGACGCTGTCCTGGAGTGAACAGTGCCGGGGCTTCCCGGAGAATCTCCCCGATGGACGTCACCACCGACAGGTTCAGGAATCTGGACCTCAGACCCTTTATCTTTTTCAAGATCAAAGTAGCAGTGGTTCTCGTTTGCGCGGCTTCCTGCCAAACTGGGGACGGAGTAGGGGTCCGCGCGTCCCCTCCACCTGCCTGCCAGTTAAGAAATGCAAAGTCCAGCAGCATTGTACCTGGTTCCAGCAAGAACCCGCCCAAAACGAGCTGTTAAGGGTTCGTGGTCTGCGTACTTGTGAGCACCGGGAAAGAAAGATAACCGCGAACCTGGGTGGGCGGGTGGCAACCAGGACCAGGAGGTCAGACGTGCCTTCTGAGTGTGGTTGCTGGTGTTCGGGCTCGCGGGCAGCAGCGGGAAAGGGGGCGGGCACCTCTGACTCCCAGGCTGTTGCACGTGGCTCTCGGCCAGGATATAAGACCCTTGCAAAAGCTTTGAGACTCGTTAGGCGGGATCTGGCTGCCAGGCCAGAGGCAGGAGGGCAAGGCGAGAGTCCTGTGGGGGGAGGCGGGGGCTCGGCCGCCCTGAGCCTCCGGAGGGCGGAGATGCAAGGCAGCCGGAGGACAGACGATGTCCCCACAGGAGCTGCCCCGCGAAGCTACCTCTGCAAAGAGATGGGGGGAAATAATCACAGTAAATATGACAAAGGGTTAAAATCTCTAAGACACAGTCCATGAAAAGACGTTAAGAAAAATATTGAGACAACCTCCTGTAAGTAAACTGCGTGAGTGACATGAACTGTTGCTTCCCAACGAAGGGAATACTTTAGGAAAACAGAGAAAGGAAAAGTACATATTAAAATAAGAAACCTTTAAAAATATTAAATTAGTTGTATCAAATGCTGGTGAAAATTGGTACTCTCATATTTCACTGGTGTTCTTGTAAATTGATACAAACTTACTGGAAAGCAATTGTAATTTTTTAGAGCCATGCAAGTCATTACTTACTAATATAATTATCTTTTATATTGAGGTACATACAATAAAATGTACAGATCTTAACATGCAGCTTGATGAATTTTTGACAAATCATCACTTTTGTCTTAGTTTCCCTAGAAAACTTTTAGAAAATCATCCCAGGAAGATCATTGAAAATATTATAGAGAAAAATACTATATTCATAAGAGTTCACAATATTTTTGAAGAATTACAAACAGTATAATGTCTAATTATGGGCAAATGGCTAAATAAAATATATTAGGGCCATGGGATAGAATATTATACATCTTTAAAACTACAAGCATCCAGACAACTTTTCTCCATGAAAGATTTTTTTTTTGATATGAGGGAAAGTGAGAAAAAAAATCAGGTTATAAAAAGTACAACATGCATATAAAAATGGATGCATAACACTTCTGTACTGCACATTTAAAAATGGTTAAGAAGGTACATTTTATTTTGTGCATTTTTTCCCACAATGCAAAAGTATGTGCATATGAGAAAAAATTGGAAGAGAATACACCAAAATCTTAACTTTACTGTCATGGTAATGGGACTACAAATAATCACTTCATCTTTTATGCTTTTCTGAAAAATGTTTTATTATGTTAACATCTTAAAACATTTTATATCTACAAATGATATGACCTTCCTTCCTTGCCACTAAGCTCATTTGTCACACCAGATTGCTAACACCTCTCTGACCAAATGGGCCGCTCTAATACAGCCTATTTTCTTGCTTTTCTGTAATATTTTCTGGTTCATTTTATTGTCAGAAGAAGAAAAAAATGAAAATGAGAAAAATAGCAAAACATTCCAAATGTATCCTTTTCTTCTTCTGTCTTTTGTTTTAATTTGTATTTTCCCCCCTTTGAACTGGAAAGAGAAATTTTGTTACATGATTTGGGCAGTTTCCTGTTATTACCACACTGACCCTGGATTACATCTCTGGGGACAAGGGAAGGTTTATAGCTCAGTGATCAAATCCTCTGGTGATTCACTTCACAAGAAGGCAGTTCTTTATAAAAACAAATTGCTGAAATGCTAGAAAACCCTGTCACTATTTCACCTTTGCTCTTCTCTTTTAGGGAACCTGCCTTTCCAGTAACTCTATTTTCACTGCTCTTTCTCAAAAGGTGGTCCTGCAGGCTTCTGGTGGGGACAGAGAAAGGAGAGTTTAAGACAGAGACTTCTGTGTTTACCAGAAATCTGTCATTGTGTCCAGCGCTGTTCTGGCACTGGGATACAGCCATGGACAATACAAAGATCTACACCTCACAGAGTTCACCTGCTAGAGGAGGGAGACAATTAACAAAACGTGGTGTTTAGATGGTGATATGTTCTGTGGAGAAATAAAAAGCAGGGATGAGAAACGGAGTGGTGAGGAAAGGTCACGCCAGGTTTCCCTGAAGTCACCTCAGAATCTGGGGGGAGAGGTCCAGGGAACAGCAAGGCGAGAGGCCTCTGGGAGCATGCCTGGACATTCCAGAAACTGTAGGGGGCTGGAGTGGAGTGAGAAGGGGCTAGATGTCAAGAAGTGAGGTGAGAAGACAAAGGGCCAGGTCGTGCGGAAGCCATCTGGACTGTTGGTTTTCCCTCCTAGTGAGATGGGAAATCGTTGGGGTCCTCTGAGCAGAGGTGCAACGTGATCTTGGCTCAGGTTCCAACAGGGTATTTTTGGGCACTATGTTAAGAAGACTGAAATGGGCAAGAGAAACACAATGTGTTGGCAATCGTCCAGGAGAATAGGGATGAGGGCTTGGAGATGTTGAGAGTGAGGGAAGCTGAGGCAAATGCACCAGGAAGTCAATGAGTGTGGGCTTTAAAGCTCCTCACTTGCATGGACCAGACCACCTTCAAGTCCCAGAAGGGGCCTTAGCAATGCTTTCACATGTTGACAGGTTGTGATAAAATTTGCACGTGTGGGATTTTTAGCCACAAATGGGTAAAATGGTCTCTTTTCATCTAAACCTCCCCTTGGCCCCTTCATGTCTGGTGGTGGTGAAGTGGCTGTGGGCATTTCGGGGACCTCACAAGGAAAGGTTTAATCAGAGATGTATTTCTGTATTGGGATTTCTGCATGTGGTTCGCCACATACATAATCTACACATTCTGTGCACAGTCATCCTGTTGCTAACTGCCCAGCTTTCAGGAGTATTCCTTCTGCCCCTCGTGCGAACTCGAGGTATGTTGTGCGAGAAGCAAACATTCCTACACTGCCTGGCACCATGTGGATGGTGGAGGAGAAAGCAGGTTGAAATGTATGGCCCCAGAAGCTAATCTCTGAAAATTCCTCAGATTATCACACATGTAAAACTGTAAACAGAAGATCCAGTTCTTCTTTATGTCCAGTCAAAACAGAATTCTCTCCTGCCAGGAATAAAAGGAACAATACAGCTTATGCAGTTATAAATTACCATAAAGGGAGTGGTTTTTACCTTGTTAATGAAAGTGGCATGTTTGATAAGGCTTGAATACAACATTGTAACTGCTATTTGGAAATATGATCTGGAGCATTTTCAATAAAAGTTGGAAAATACAGATTCCCAATATGTTCATATATGAACAACACTTTGTCATGTGCAAATTTATTTATGTAATTAAAGAACTGCAAGAAAAATATAAAGTTAATGAAATGTAAAAAGAGATAAAGATAAGCAATTTAGTCAGTGGAAAATTTTCTGACATCATTAAGCAAATTGTAAAAACTTTCAGATTATACTGGAAGCAATAATTCATTTTGATTAAAAGATAAATGTCAAAAGGAAGCAAAGAACAGGCTCTTGTGTTGTCTAATGATCCAATAATGAGATAGACTGGATCTTACGAACACAACGCAGAAACGTTTACAAGTCTTGTTGCTCTCATCTGATATATTGACATGGGTGAGGATACCATGACTGTACTAAGGAAATTGGTAATAAATTGGCTAACAAATTGGTTAATGAGTATCATGAATTCTAAGGCTATTTAAGATGAATCACTGGAAAAGAAAACATGTATCACTTTGAAATATGACAACTTATATTGAAATATTACAACACATTAAGCAATGTAGAAGATTCTCCAAATGTGACAATTCTAAAAAATAATGTGACTTCACTAATAAGGTATTGTGAGGCTGAAATAAATTATCTGAATATTTTTTAAACCAAATTTTCATCCACCACTTGGAAAGACTGAATTATCTTTCTGGTTTATTTACACAAAAATTATATTTCAGAATCATAGTCTTATGGAGAAGAGAACAAAGAATATGCAGCTTTTTTAAAAGTATAAGAAAAAAGTATTTTAGTGGAAGGTCAGGAAGCT